AGAAAAAAAAGCTTTAAATATTTTTTGTGGAACAAGGTTACACTGGAACATCTGTCAGGTCTAATGTGGTCTAATCCAGAGGATCAGACCATAGCAGTCTAATCCTCTCTGGGATGACTCTACCAGTAAATTATCCTGAAGAAGGGGTTTATTTCTGTAATACGTTTTACTTTGCAGTGACTGCAGGCCTGACCCTTTTAAGTCTACAGTAAATGCAGTATAACTTACTGCAATAAAAGGAGCTCACATTTATTGTAAAGTAAGAATATTCACACTGGCAGTCACCATGGAGTAGATGATGTGTTAGAATTTCACACTCTTCCTTTTTCTTTTCCCAGCTGACCTTTCTGCAGACAGTAGAAGTATGAGCCTGAAGTGCACTCCATAAAAATACCCACTAGATTGAGGCATCTGTTCCACTCCCCAAAGTTCTCCAAGTATAGCGTTTAGTGTTTCTGTAGCTTTCCTTCTTTTTCTCTGGTATAATGGGAGCAGAAAGTCCAGTCTAGGTAGTGACAGGTAGCACCCGTGTGGATGAAGCCCACTCTCAATCTGGTTTATCAAACGTTTGCAGTAGCATTTACCCAGGCTTAAAGCTTTGGAGAATGGAGAAGGTAAATTTTGAGAAATAAAGCCAGCTGATAGATGTGATCACTTATTAGACATCTTTCATATAAATTATGAAAAATAGCTACAGTGAATTATAGCTGTGGGCTTTCAGAAAATAAGCCTTTCAGGAAAAATGTAATGAAACTAAGTGGCGCTCAGTTCTGAGTTTCCTCACTAAGCTGAATCATAATTCAAAGTTCTTTTAAAACTTCCAGGACGGTTTGCAAATCTGGATGAAATTGAGACTAAGCTTGATCATATTTTAAGTGGGTTTTTTGGCTGCTACTTTACTCCAGGAATACTCCTCTCCAGTAGGTTTCCAGGTCATTTCTATCTGCAGTCCATTGCCCAGTTCTGTAAAGGTCCAGGGAGTGTAGATTTTGTAGTGCCAGTTTTTGAGCAGTTATCCCTTATCAGAATCAATAGCGCTGGTGAAGGCCTCCTCTTCCAAGGTGCAGTACCCCGTGCAAAATCAATGGAAATAGCCCAGCAGGCAGAGAACCAGCAGCCTCTATTCTCCTGTTTCCGTTCCCCGTTCATCCTTGAGATCAGACTTTCCTCAGCTCCCAGTGCCGACCAGCAACGGCAACTTCTCCTCAATCCTGACACGGCCCCGGGGATCCCACAGCCACAGGGAATCTCCTGAACACCCTCCATTAAGGATTTTATTAAGGGGTTTTTGTGCATATACGTGCAATACAATAAGCTGAAGTCTTGGAAAGGACTAACAGAGAAAGGTGTTTGGAGAGGTGACTCAATATCTTTTCCCACCAGATTGAAATAAAATATTTAAGTCTCATGTGGTAGTCTTGGGAGCTAACATGAAGAAACGACCCTTTTTTTAATGTTTCATGATTGTTTGAAGGGCAGTACAATGCAAAATTCTGTAAAAATAAACACTTCTGCTACGATTGCTTTAGAAATTTTTGCTGCAAATATATTCCTGGTGGAGATAGATACTTCACTGCCCACAGTTATTAGTTAATGCTGTTGCCCAGGCTTGGATCCCAAAGCCAGTATCTCAGCCGTGAGGTTTGTTGATGACCATTGCTGCCACTGAAGAAACGGGAGGTCTGAAGTCAGGTGAAGTTTAGTGGTTGGATAGAAATATCTCCTGCCAGCAAAATACTATACAGCAGCAAAGGGTGTAGGTGATAAAGGAGTTCCATGAAAATGTTGGGCTAGTGCTCTGTTTTGATTTTTAATGTGTTGAGGCTTACTACAAAAAGGAATAGGGTAGAAAATAGAGAACATCAATGTCGTACTGTATGGCATCATGGTATATTGCGTTATCACGAAAAGAACAAGCAGAGGTGATGAGTGGCCTTGATGTTACGAACGCTTGGATAAACTGGAACTGCATCATTCAGCGAGCGGTACCTGAGCAGCAGTGTCAATGGGTGTGTATAGAATCATGAATGACTTGGAGGGAATGAAAAATGGGCGTTTGTGACCTTTTCCAATATGCAACAACTGAAACTAGCAGAGCAGAGCTGCAAAGCGAAGGGTCCGTAGTTAAGAGTCACTGTCCTTAGCTGTACAGAGCAAGATCTTACACAGGTTCAAAAGGTTGACCTGATCCAATACAGCCGTTCCTGTCTTCCTAAGGTCACATACTTTGGGTTCTTGTCATTTTAAAGTCCTGTTTTTCCCCTCCCTGTGCACGATCAATCTCCCTTATTACATTCCATCTACTTTTTTGCGCCTAATTTAGATGATGTGATGACATTCTTTACTTGCCTCTGAAACTGTGATGTAATATTGTGATGTAAAATTAACCCTACCCCCAAAAGAACCCTAGCTGAAGGAAGTCAGTGGTAGAAACCTGTAGATCATGATAAGATTTTATTACCTTGCAGTAAAGGTGTTAATGGAGTTCCAGCGTCTCTGCTCTATTAGGATGCATTGGGCATCCAATGGAATTGTGTTCAGGTTAGATTCTGCTACTTAATGTATATTGTTTCAAAAATGGTGCTTTATGTCAAGAGGAACGCCAGTGAGGCTATGTAACTTTCATCAAGGTACTATCCTGTGTTAATAAGCCTTGGAAAGTTTCGCCTGAGGGTGAATTAATAACATGGTGTGAAATCTTTCTATAAAGAAAAATTATTATTCGATTCACTGTTCGTGTCTTGGAAGCCATCACGTTCGCTGTCATCCTTCACAGATGTCATATATAATATTTCAGAGTTCTGATTATTCCCTCAAATCCAGAATTTTCTTTTTTTGTGTTTTTAAAAAAGCAAAATTAGGTGGCATCCCTTTGTAGACAATGAAAATTGCTTTTAAAGTGTTTTAGGGGAGTGTATCTTTTTAGGGTCTCAACATGCCTTCTCCACTGCTTTACTAAACATAAGCATCAGTGGGTACCAAAAATGAAGTGCAGAGTTTCCAGGATAGTTTTCCATACAGCATAAATGTATTTCAAAGTGTAAAATACTGCACTTTCTTGAAATAAAATGCTCACTCACTTCGGTTTTAAACGAAACAGATTTTATGAAACATCATTTTACAAATGTGTTAGAGACGTGTGAATTCCTCATGTGTCAGCCAGTATTCACCGCTTTGTAGTGCCTTCTGCAGTTCTTTTAATGGACAGAATTTTGATGAAGGAGTACTTGAGTTTGGGTGTGATCAGCAGTGTTTGCTAGCAGTCCAATCATGCTGAATTATATTTCAAGTAGTATTTAAATAAGTACTTTGTGGATGTAATTCTAATTGTACGACTATTACTCCTCTCTTTTTTTAATGAACATCATTGCTATGAAAATACTCTATTCTGATAAAAATGAATTTGCCATTTCAAACTCCCAAAATATACTGGAAGTCTGTAAGTCCTAAGCTGTGAAATCTGCTAGCAAACAGGGACTTTTTTACCCAAATTAACTCAGGTTTGGGTGTTCTAACTGTGAGATGATCTTTTATCTTGATCTGACCAAACGAGGAAGAAGACAGAAACAAGGAGAATTTAGGGTTAGTTCCAAAGAGCGCACAGTGATTGAATTTGGTGAAACAAATCAAAGAGGTGTATTTTCTTAATCAATATTTGCCGCATTTGGGATTTCAGGGTGTGATTCTATCCCAGACAGACCTGTCAAAAGCTGGAGTCGTTGCACTGAAGCTGTACATGTTCAGTGTTTAACCGGTATGAAGCTAATTTGAGATGACAGACCATTGCCATGCTCTTTCAGAACAGGCCGTGTTATTATCAATGTCTTTGGGAAATTAATAAATCTTAGTTGTATATAATTTACTCATAAATGGTAAGCAAGGTTGTTTGTAATGCTTTTGCTAATTTATGGTAAATGGAGACACGTGTCTGTCCTCCTATCATTGGGTGACAAATAGCAAAGCTGTGGTAGATACTCATTGCATCTCAGCTGTGAAAGTGTTTTCATGTGCACATGTGTACAAGAAGGACCCAGTAGGATTTCTTTAATTTTATTTTCTTTTTAGGAAGTATACTTTCTTATAACAGCCTGCTAACTAAATTATTGCCGTTTGTATCTTCCTGCTTATTCTGTATGTTACCTAGATCTTTAGGGCAGCGAGTCTTGGGTCAAAATTAACTCGAAAATAGCCTTCAGCATGATCAATACTTGTATCTGGGCAGAACCTGGGCGATCCTTCTAGCCTCTGACAGAGCCCCTAAGGGGAGCTGCCAGCCATATAGCAAACTGAAGTGTGCAGATCTTCAGCCTCTCAGCAGCTACAGTAAATATGTGCAGTGCAACACAGCAAATACGTGCAGGCTTTTAGTTACGGAGGTGTGTAAATGTTGACAAATATGATTAACTGCAGAGCACAAAATCCATTTGCAGCATCAAAGGCAAAACTAAAATTACTTTTTCCCACCCTCCTCCAGGATTATGCTGAAAAGAAAAACACGATAGCAAAAGCTCTGGAAGACCTTAAAGCCAACTTCTACTGTGAACTCTGTGACAAGCAGTACTATAAACACCAGGAGTTTGACAATCACATTAACTCTTATGATCATGCTCACAAACAGGTAAGAGGAATCTGCTCACTACTTCAACTTAGTTTTGGGTAGAATAATGAAATAAGATGTCCTGCAGACGAGCTTGGAAATCGGAGTTTTCAGTTGTGCCCGGATTTCAGACTTTGGGAAGCAAAGTGCACTGTTTTCTTAGAAACAAATCTTTACATGAGATTTCAAAGTCATAAATTCTGAGATGGAAAGAAAGGGAAATGTGAACAGTTGTGAAGAGGAACAGGGAATGATGAAAAATATGATGAAAAACCTAAATGTACGATTTCTTTGTTACCATTTTAAGTAAATACTGTGGTATACCTAAGAGATTACTGGGAAGCGTTTGTTGCAACCGATGTGCTTACAAAACTCGACATACTCTTTGGCAGACTTCCTTTTTGCACAGCTACAGTTCTGAAATGGGCTATAATTTTACTTAAATGCACTGAATATGCAAAACCCATGGTAATGAACATTTACTGGCTCAGCTTACAGTAACCTATGCGTGAGCTTTAAAACATTCGTATTTACATTTTTTGCCATCACATTTTATCACCGCATCTCCAAGATGTGTGTCCTGCTTTGGTAACATAAAAGCAGTGCTTCCACGTAACGGGCAAGGCAGTGCATCCCAGTGCCACGTCCTGGTCTCTGGAGGGGCCAGGACTGTGTAATTCAGAGGAAAATACAATTCATCTTGACTCCACTGAAGAGATACGGAATGATAAAGTAAAGGTATGTAATAACCGTACCGGAAATGTCTACTTAGTTCACTTAGCTGTTAATTATTCTGTATCTTTTTTTTTTTAATCTGATGAAATCAGATGATTGTGGATCTGGATCGATTGCTTTTCGTTCTAATTGAATCTCCTCTTGTCCTGTAGTTCTGCTCAGGGTGAAGGTGGATGAATTGCTATACGTGTTTTATACCTGTATTATGGAAGCCAATGATTTGCTTTTCTTTCCTTCAGCACTTCTCCCTGAAACACTTCCTTCTCTCTCTCACTGATGTTTTTATTTAGCGCATAATTTACGCTGTCAGCTTTATGTTTTGTGAGTGTTAGATTTAGTTTTGAGAACTATAAAGATGTGGACCGCAGCAGCAATAGCAATCTATGAGAAACTGGAGGGAAAGATATATTAGGTAAGAAATTTGTGGGTAACGTCATGGCATCCTATAGATATTTATTATGAGTTGTGGATATTTTCAGTTAAAATACAGCTGTAACTAGTTCTTCAGATGATATGTTATACAGCAGCACCTCATTGATGGAAGGCTGGAAAAAAGAAGCAACGGGCAGTCTTCTCCACTTGAACTCTCTTAGGACTTTTTTTTAAGTACTCTGAAGCACCTTTAAATGATGAGAACTTGAAGTCTGCAATGTTTGTTCCTCTATTCAGTATTGATGAAAAATTCATTTTGAAACTGAGGTCAGGTGTGAGACTGAACCCGGAACTTGTTGCAAGTGGTTCATGTAGCTATTCTTGTTTTCAGTAGTTCACATAGCTGTTCTTGTTTCCTGATGGCTTTAGACAGGAGTTGCTGGGTGCTGCACCAGCGCCTGGCGGAGCACAGCAGATCCTCCTTCTCCATTTTTGTGTAGGGGACCTGTGTCGGTGTTTGCATGTGGCTTTGTGGATGTTCGCCGAAACACAGAAAGCCATCCTCCTCCTCCTCCTCCTCTCTGAGACATCCACAACTGTAATTTCCATAGGTAGAAAATGAGACAAGAGTTTATAGTTTCCCAGCAGAAAAAAATTGTATGGATGCTTGTTTGGACAAAGTGATAGTTTTCTGCAATATTACTGGTAAATAAGACTATTGATTCCTGAGATTAAAATGTTAAGTCAAGTTTAACTCTTCTGGAGCAATTTTTGTCGTCGTTTCCATTTGTGTTACAAAGATGAACCATTCCTCTTCCCGTATTTTGGGTGAAAAGGGGGGAAGGCAGCATATGCTGCAGTGCAGGGTCACGCAGATTTGCTGAATTTTCAAGGAACTTCATACGACATGCCTTTTTTGAGCAACTAAATGTAAATTTTAGATTACTAAATGTGCTAGAGCTGTTTTCAGGTGCTACTGTTGAATGCTCTGATTTTGTCTTGAAACTTTCTTCCTCAATGGCAGAGGTTCTCCAGCAGTTTGGTAAGAGGAACAGATGACCTATCTTTGGATTTAGCTTCATATTTTTCTCTAACTTTCTCCTTTTGATCACAACTTCCTGCCTATAACGGACAGTTAAGGGGAAGCACTTACTAGGAAAGGTCTCCCATGATCCAAGAGTAGTTGTAAGCATGTGCAGCCAGTTCAGTTTTGGTGATCCCAGCACCTGACGATGGTTTCTACGTGATCAAATGGATAGAACCTCTACCTAAACCTGAATTTGTCCCAGCTCTTCTGAAAAGCTGTATTTAGTCCTAATTGAGCACTCTGTTACCACACCTTCTCAGCCATGGCCTGGTTTATCAGAGAAAATGTTCCTAACAGCTCTGTACCTGAATGTTGTTGTAGAAGATTTTCTTTTTCACTTTCCATTGATTCAGAGGTTGCTAGCACAGAAAACTTACAGGATAAAACCACAAGATTTCATAATTAGGTGGGCTTTATCCTCCATTGGATGAAGGGCCCTGTAGTGTCAGAGGTTGGTTGCGTTTTGATTTATCGTGTCTTACAGCCTCCGAATACCGGCTTTGAGATAGTATGAGGTCCTTCTGATGGTCCAGGAAGAGGATAGGGATAGGGCAAAACTAATTTTATTTCCTAGGACCTGTAAGGAGTTCAGACTGGTGTCTCAGGGTCTCCTCTTGCCTCTATTAGTGCTTTCTTGTTTTAGCTTTGACAATATAGTTTGGAGAGCAATATCTGTAGCCTTTATGAAATACTCCTGGAAAAGCAACTGGCAAGCAGTCAGTGGTAATGAAGAAAAATGAACTCTCTTGTTTGCTTAGAAAGCCTAGACAAAAAAAGGAAAAAAACCCAACATATAGTACAGATGTCTTTAAAAACAAAACTGTTCTGGGCTCAATACAGAGAGAAATGTAACTAAGGCAGAACCACTGTTATTTAATATAGTAATGAGAGAATTGCTGTTCGAGGATGATGGTCTAAAATGACGGAATGAAGCTTTTGAGAGCTGTGCTAGGACTTCAAAATCCTCTATATGATTTTGTGCAGCGTTTCTTAAGTATTTGGCAGTGCAGGAGGAGCTCTGAAGTGCTGTATTCATACGGGGTGAAAAAATCCTACCTGTGTTCCTTGAAACGCTGCGGTTCTGGTAAATGTGGCTGAGCATTAAGTCTAAGGCTCTGAATGGCCTTCGTCTCGTAGCCACTCGGAGTCAGTGAGTAGTTTTGTCTTGATGAAGAAGGCTGGATCACACAGCTAGGTCCCCTACAGCAGTCATTCCTCAAGAGAATTCAGTTGCTACAAGAGCAAAGTGGTTTTATTTTTGTATTTGAAAGTCTTCCTCTCCATCCCAGAACTTCTGATTAATCAACAGTATCATGGCAGCGCACCCAGGCTTGGTGCCGTTTCCTCTCCCAGGAGTGCTCTCCCAAATATCAAACAACAACAACAAAAAGCCGTGATGAAAAAGAAAATTAATAGCCTTAATGTATTTGCATCTAGAGATGCAAATACGATCAATTAAGTAAATTATAAGTAGGAAGTTTTCCCCACAGAATCAGAGGTCATTTCTCAACTGGATGGAAATGATCTCCCTGCTCTAAAAATGTATTTAAAATTGTATGGAGGTGCTAAGACACGAATTATGCACGAAGACTAAATTAGTAGTTGTCTTCTTTCCCTGTTCCAGACACAGATTTCTCCTGTCTACGTTTTTCTCCTCTCTCAGCATGTTTTTCTTTGTGTGTTTGTCAAGAGACTGGCGTCAAATAGGTTACAGAATATCAATCTGTAGTCAATCAGAAGTTCAAAATTTTATCATCTTTATGTGAATAAATATTGTTTATTATAAAAATTGTGTTTGAATAAATATTTCATGGAATATTTGGTGAAGAAGAAGAAATGTGTAAGTGGAAGGGTGTGGTTAGACATAACAATAGCAATAAAATCATAATTGTACTAAAGGTGTGCCTCCTCCGAGGTGGGAAGCATATGAGGTGTCAAGTTAGAGCAGTACTGCACGTTTGGGATGCCGGGATTCTCGGCAAAGATAATTGGATGTTATTGGTTGTTTGACTCGGCAATTTAAAAACAAAGCAGTAAATCCTTGCAGTCATCATCACAGCTTTTAAAGAGGTCTCCTTGTAGACTTATTGCCTCTTAAAAAAAAAAAAAAAAAAAAGATAAAAATCCCATCTCCTTGCTGCTGCACATTTTCTCTCCTGCCAGTCACTGTTGGCAAAATGTCCTTGTTTCATTGGTAAAGACTTGAAAAAGTTTGAAGGTGCAGCACTTCTTTAAACAGCTTTTTGGGACAAAGTCTGTGATCCTCAGGGTGTATTTTCTATCTGTCAAGAATGGCTGTGCAATTCAGAGAGCCCTCTTCAGCCCTGGGGAAATCTCCGGGCTGGTCAGCTAGGAAATCCCAGAAAAAACCCGTTTGAAGGAATGACATTGTTCTGGGACTGTACTTCTGGTACCTGAGGAAGGCTGGGAAGATGTGAGGTAGCCAGCAGGAGCCAGACTTGATCATGACACACCTCACTGCTGTTTATTCTCAGTAGCTTCAAAACAATGGAAATACACGACAGAAATGGGAATTTTCCCCAACCTGTCAGTGTCTTTCTGGTTCCCTTCAATGCACAACGAATTGAGAAGAGTGAGGGGAAAAAAAAACCCACCATCACAGTGTTCTTTTGGGAAAGACAGAATGCGAGTCTGCGGAGGGTGCACTGCAGCGTGTCCGCTGGTCACGCGGAGGCGAGTTCGGGGCACTGCAGTGGATCTGCTCCCAGAGCATCTGCAGCCTCTGGCCCAGCCAAAGAGTTTGTGTCTTTTTGAAAGGAAAAGCGACATGGACTCAGAGAATTGCGAAGTGAAAGAAATTCACTGC